GGGCGCGGCGGAGCTGGGAGCTATCCTCTTTTTTTCTTCCGCCCAGCCCGTCACCCTCCCCGTGTCTCCTCTCTTCGGCCCGTTCCCCCCGCCGAGCGCGGCCTCTGGTGGTGGCGCCGGCGCGTCACACAGGCGTTGGCAGATTGTCGCCCTGATGGTGATTTCCGCACGCAGAGCCATGCCGCCGCCGCCGCCGGGCCGCGGTTTTATTTAAGTAATTGCCGCCATCCGTCACTCATCGGGGACGTTTATCTCTCGCCGCGCCCATTTGTTCGCCGCAGCGCCGCCCCCGCCCATCAGTCTGACCTCACACACGCAGCCCTATCGGGCGAAGAAAAGGAGAAAAAAACCCACATTTCTTACAAATTGTGAAGACAAAAAAAGGGAAGGGGAAGAAAAGAATACTACTGGAGTTTCCAAAGATTATGGAGTGGTGGTCTGTTAAAAAAGGAACACACACACACGACCAGGAGTAAGTCGGTCTCCACTTTCGTGCGAAATTGATGGCGCGCTTCAGTTATGACGGGTTCGCGTCATCGCATTTTTGCACTGTTCCGGGGCTGCTGATATGGATTCGCCCCAGTCCCGTTCTGGGCTGGCGGGAGCGGCGTGAGTGAAGGACAAGAGGCGCACCGGGAGCTGACCCGGGCCGCGACAGGTGCACGCCAGCACACGGCCCCGCCCCGCCCCGCCCCCGCCTCACCCTTGACCCCGGCGGCGGCAGTCTGGCAGACATCTGGCCCGCGGCTGACTCGAGGTCGCTCCGGGCCGGGCGGGCGGGCGAGGATGAAGGAGAAGGAAGGATGGGGGGTAGCATTTCGCAGAGCCGGGGCTGTTTGCCGTCGCAGACCGCCGCCGGCCTTCGAGAGAATGCCGCCGCCCCCGCCTTAAAACGGAGCGCGCGAAGGATTTCCAAAGCAGTGCGGCCCGCCCACCCCCGCGCCGCCTTATATATTTGTATATATATTTCCCTCTACTTAAACGCAATGGCCTCTGCCGCGGCACCAAGCAGGCCTTATTGCGTCGCTAAGCCCCGGAAGACACAGGGAGGAGGGTGTCGACGAGTCGAGGGGAGGAGGGGGGGGGGGGGGGCGGGCCCGCGCCATGGTGTTGCGGAAGTAAATGCGCACCCCTCACCGCCACGCCTGCCGAGCAGAGAGGCGTTCCGAACGTAATGGGCAAGATATATCGTGACACGTGCGTCCCCCTCTGCCGCTTTCGCACTCCCCCACTTCACGATAGTCACCCCCGCGGGCCGGCTGACGGGCGGCGCGGTCGCGCCCGGCGCCCCCGACACGGGACACGGACACGCCTTAGCACGAGGAGGAGGAGGCGATGGTCGGGGCCAAGACACCCTTCATTGTTGAGTCGGGGGGATATATTTGCATAGGGTCGGCCAAAGTTTTGCGGTATTGACTTTCATGGTGGACCTGCCCTATCCCAGCCGGGCTGCTCTGCGGGGCCGGGGCCGGGGACGGACGGAGCGGGCCGCGTCGCCTGGAGACGGGCAACAATTACCCGGCAGGTAACTCGTCCCGAGTGGCGGCCGGTTTTATTGGGTTAAAGGGGAGGGGGGGGGGTTACGGGACTTGCGTCTACCTCAGCGCAGAGAGGGCGGATAGGCGAACTTGTGTGCGGTAGTGAGCAGGCGGGGGGCTATTCCAGTCGCAAACGACAGATAAATGTATTCATGCTGGGGAGTCGGGCTCAGATGCCCGCCGCCCCGCCCCGCCGGAGCCCGCCCGGGGGGACTGAGGAGGTGACGGGGAGGGGAGGGAGGGGGCATGTCAATCAAAGTTTGCCCGCGTTAAACGGTGCGTGCGAAGGCGGTTTGGCTGCTGCCGCTGTTCCCGACAGTGTGGGGTCCGTGGGGTCGGGGCTGAAGGGATTGTTTGGGTGGAGGGGAGTAGTGAGCAGAGTGTATACGCGTGAGACGGAAGGGGGGGGGGGGGGGCATGCGAGGTCAGCGCAGCTTCCTTTGCCACACCTGTCAAACTCAAACAAAATTTCCAACACCTGCTATCGGTCCGCGCCACGGTCCGCCACAGAAGCTCACGCCCGGGTGCTAACCCCTTCCACTTCGAACCGATACCCTGCCCCCTGCCTCGCGCCCCCGCCCCACCCGCTCTGCGGCTGCCGGTGCAAGACGGGCTTGCCTCGTGTGTTCTCCACAGGTCATTACCAACTCGAAACGAAACCCCGCGCACCCGCCCCCGTCCGTCCGCGGACGCGGAACCCCCCGCCCTTGCGCAGAGTACAGGCGGAAATGCCTGAAAATTCAGGAACGAAAATGTCGTAGCGGTTCTGATTCGGAAAACATAAGTTCAGGCCCGCCTATTACAATCACATCGAAGAACACTGTGACGATTATTCACAAGGGTTCAGCTAGAAATTTTTCATGGAAAAAGTTGTTGGCACACTTCACTGTGTTTGCTTTCAAGTACGCACAAAGAAGAGTGTACCATGTACAGAGTTAGGTTTACGGAGCATGTTTTCGAACACCATGAATTTACGATTTTGAGAGTCACAAGAATTGGATGTGATAAACGTACGAACTCATACGCCAGTTTACGACATTGTTGGTAAGACAGATAGTATACTATCGGGAAAAATCGCAAATTCTGAAAAATATTCTTTCAATGTGAAACTACAAAACAAGTAAACGCGAAAAACTGAGTATCTATTTTTACATCTTCTGTTTTCCTGTGGCATCGGCGAGATACTATTTTAACGCGCAATCGTGTACGTGTAGGTCGTTGCCTCAGCGTAGCAGAGAACGCCCTCACCCTCTCGACTCTGCTCCAGCGAGAGAGGGCGGGCGAAGAGAAAAAGGGGGTGGGAGAAAGGGAATTGGGAGTACGCTACAAATTAAAGTACGCGCTAAAATAAAACGAGAAGCACGTCAGGAGTAATATAACATGTGCGGACATATACGAGCAAGATAGGGTCGGGCGTGGCGGGGCGTGGCGGGGTTGGCCGGGGGCGGGAAAGGAGTATGTGCGAGGCAGATTGCGGTGGGACC